ACTTTTACGACACCAGCACTGGTTTTCTGGCAAATATGACGGCACCGTAGATCTCTTGAAACAAAACGAAATATGTTGTCTCCGTAATCTTGTACATACATTTAAATATAAAACATTTTCTAGCTGTTACAATATCGTTTTCTCTCTCGTCATCTGCCATGGCTGGCGTTATGGAAACAGGTTTGTAAATTTGTTGATAGTGACTGTAAACGTGTTGTTCTCCTAATATTCGCCCGCAAACACAACGATAAGACAGTTGTTTTGGTAAACGAAGAATGTTACGGTTTTGATTTGATTGTGTGAGGTAATAAAACGTATACGTATCACTGTATGTATTATGTTAAATATAATTTACATTATGCTGAATTAAATTAATAAGGGGCTGTCCCGAAATATATTGCATTTCGTTCAAGCAATGTTATTTTAAATAAAAAGCGTTGATAACCCTCAAAATTCATACTTTCACAGAGGAGCAGGCAAGACGCCGTTTCCAGCTTGAGTTGGAGTTTGTTCAGTGCCTAGCGAACCCAAACTACCTGAACTGTAAGAGCAAAAATTACATTGTTTTATTATTTGCTTATTTGAAATACTTGGTTACAGTAATCCAGATATGGAAATAATTCAGGCATTTCAGTTTGAATAACTAAATTCATATTAAACATGTTATTTCTATTGTTAAATTTAGAAGATTGGTCTTGTGTGTTTTCACATGTGTTGTGGATTTAAATCTGTCTTAAAAAATATCTTGTTTTTCATTCTGCAGTTTTGGCTCAAAGAGGTTACCTGAGAGAGAAGCCTTTTGTCAATTACTTAAAGTATCTACTTTACTGGAAAGAACCAGAATATGCTAAATTCCTGAAGTAAGTTCATGTTTTACTTTTTTTATTATTATTTATTTAATCTTAGTTACATTTTATTTTGTAAACTCATGTCATGTGAAAATTAATAAAAATGAGCATATATTTATTATATATTCTTATATGCTAGACCTCAGCTGGCTAAAGATGTTCAGACATTATTCAGTAAATTAATTTTCCTCTTACAGTGATTGTCATATTACACTTCTGGACAATGCAGTCTAAATCTTTTATTTCCTTAGATATCCTCATTGTCTGCACATGTTAGAGCTATTGCAGTATGAGCATTTCCGAAAGGAGCTGGTGAATGCGCAGTGTGCCAAGTTCATAGATGAACAGCAGATCCTGCACTGGCAGCATTACTCACGGAAGCGGACGCGCTTGCAGCAAGCGCTTGCGGAGCAGCAGCAGCAGCAACAGCAGCCACAGGCTCCATCCCATGGCAACACCACATCCAAATGAAGCAGTCAACATGCTCCTGCTGGGAATTATTCTTTCACAAAAGCTTTTTTTGTAAAAAGTCATTTTCAAATGGGCTTTTTCCAAATTTTAAATAGGACTTGGACTTTTAGACTGCTCTCTGTAGGCCCATAATGCTGTGTGTGTTTATGAACAACAGGAGAGAAAGGTAAAAGAGCTTCTAAGAAGGTAAGAGGAGAGTGATTAGATAGCTGTCTTACAGTTGGTTTTGCATTGTAAAAGAAATCACACTTATGAACTGAAATGTATTTCAGTTCTGCATCAAACTTTGTTTCTTTATTACTTTATTACTATATTCTTTATATATGATATTTGTATTATGTTTCTGTGTGCATTTTAGACAAAAATGGAAACCCAATAAAGAAAAATAAGGCAATTTTTGAAGCCAATAATTCTATTGCATTACTTCGTCTAAATAAATTTGAATCTATATATGATGAAAACATTTAAATATGGGGGAACACATTTGTTTCCACTGTCTGAACATTTTTACACCGTGGAATCAAAGAAAATGAGGAAGCTGACTCTGCTGCAAAAGAAGCATTATTGGTAGACCTCGAAATTTGTGCAGTACCTCCTATGGATTTAAAACCAAGAATTTGTTCCTATGTTAATAACAAATGACGAACAGAGTGGGATCTATATGTAATGAATAAACTCCATGAAATTATACCCAATGTTGGAAAAATAAATTTCTATCAATTTTCCAGTCGGGACCAGATTATTTATACCTGCTGTAGAATAGGTCATTCCAGGGGCCCGTTCTTCGTACTTCGCTTAATACATCTGAGATGATTTGAAAGATTCCAGATCTAGTAATCGTGATAACTGATCTCTGGCTATTTTGGTTCTTCAAACGAATTTGCAGATCTGATTAAAATATCTGGATTAAGTTGTCTAAGATTACTGCGCGTTCTCGTGTTCCCCGTAAAGGGCAGATGTATCGATACTCGAAACCACGATCAGCAATGCAGCGATTGGCTGGCGGCAAGACAGCAACGTAATGACATCATATAATTTAAAAAGACACCTGACGATTACATTTTTAGTTCAATGTTGTAATTCGAAATTCATGTAATTTTATCTTTGAAGCAGATTTGTTATGTGACAGCATTAATTAAAGTTTCTTAAGGGTCAAGATCATGTTATCTGCATCTCCTGTGCTCCATCAAGCCACTCCCATAATAGCTGTCATCGCTCAAATTAATGTAACTGTACAGCATGTGTGTAAGACTCTTATAGAGTTATGTTATCACAAATAAATCTTTCAATGAGTAAAACTGGCTGTGTCTATAGTATTATAGATTACACAACATTATAATATTATTTTCAAATAAATGTTTTAATTATTATTATTTTAAATGATTGTCCCCGGATTAGTAGGGTACTCTTGTAATAAGGTAAGTTATCAGAAAAACAAACACTTGAACATAAATCAGCGTGATAAGAACTACCTAAAATCATGGAAACCATCTTTGGGAAAAATTTATTTTGAGTGTAATTTGATATTTCAGTTTTGCTTATGTCCCATTTGTTTACGTGGAGAGAGCGGGGTTTATGAACTAAACTGCAGGTAGCCACCACCCGCCCGTTCTTCGTACTTCGCTTAATACATCTGAGATGATTTGAAAGATTCCAGATCTAGTAATCGTGATAACTGATCTCTGGCTATTTTGGTTCTTCAAACGAATTTGCAGATCTGATTAAAATATCTGGATTAAGTTGTCTAAGATTACTGCGCGTTCTCGTGTTCCCCGTAAAGGGCAGATGTATCGATACTCGAAACCACGATCAGCAATGCAGCGATTGGCTGGCGGCAAGACAGCAACGTAATGACATCATATAATTAAAGACTACACAACATTATTATATTATCTTTAAATTAATTTTTAAATGATTATTAGGTTATTTTAAATTATTGTCCCTGGATTAGTAGGGTACTCTTGTAATAAGGTAGCAGTGGCTGGAATAGATTTAAAATATCAGCTCCACTTAAAAAGATGCAATCTAATACTGTTTACATGAAATAAGCCTGCTCCCGAGCAGGTTTCAGTTTATGGACCTGTTGCTATGACAGCAACTCCGGGATGAGCTTCGAAGAACCAAATAATACAAGATCATGCCAAATCGTCAACAATCAAATCCAGCTAACTGAGTTAGCGACGTACCAAGAACGGGCCCCAGGATGACACATTAGTTTTTAAAACTAGAAGATCCTCCAAACATGTTGCCTCTGCCAAAACCCTTTATCCATGAAGCATGTTTTATTACATTGTGTTGGTTTTAGCTCTGTGAGAAAATATTTTAACTCTTTTGAAGAGATTTTTAACAGAGTTAAGCCAAATACAGGTTTAGAGTTTTTTTTTAGCAAAAATAAATTGTAAAAACATGATATAATTCAGTCTTTTTTTTTTTTTTGGCCATGAAAATAGCCACAGAAGCTGGCATGGTGTTAAACACAAACAAATAATCTTAACATTTTTATGGTTAAGAGTTTGTTTAAAATATTTATATTTATCCATTATAAATGGATTTTTTTTTCTGTGAGAAAAAACATCTGCCAAGAACAAATATAAGTTTATTTATAGGTGTGTGTAACGGTGTCTTTTGCACCATTAAAGGAATGATTCACCAAAAAAAAAAAAAAATTATAAATAAAATAAAATAAAACAAATATAAAATCTAAATTAATAAATCAAATTAAATAAATTCACTGCAGAGGATCCATTGGTTAGCAAGTGATGTAATGATACATTTCTCCAAATCTCTTCCAGTGAAGAAACAAATTCCTCAACATTTTGGATGGCCTGAGGGTAAGTAAATTTACAGAAAATTTTCATTTTTGGGTGAACGAATCCTTTCATATAATCTGACATAAACTCTCTGTATCCTGAACTCCTCAGCATTTTAAACTGTGTTCATATGAACATCAGAAATAATCAAAGATCTGTGCAGGATTATGTTAAATGTTCACAAGCTCCTTACATTCTTGTGTGTAACACAACAGGCCTTTTACAATCTTGAAAGAGGTGAAAGTAAGCCCTCCAGTGGTTGCTGAGGTAAAGCACAAAAATCATGCTGAATATATTCTTATTCAGGCACCTGCAGTCAATGGCAGTACAGTTTTGCAGTTTTGGAAGAATAATTTAACTATATTGTGACCTGGCGTTATGTATAATTGTATAACCTATGTATAACCTTTTCTTATGTATAAGTGTTTAATCTCTAGATGTATTCCTAGAGAAAGGCATCCTAGAAAAAAAGTCCTGCCGTTAAATTTATCTTATCTGCACCACAAGGTTTTCAGAATGCCAATGTTACGACCAGCTCACACAGCTATCAGCACCACATGATGACCTGCTCTGAGCACAGAGGGAACTTTCAGTGTTAGGTGGGTGTTATTTTGGGTTCTTCAGGATGATGTTGGTGTCCCTTTAATGAAACCTGACCTGCACATGCACTGACTGCTGTTTATATACTAACTTTGTGTACTACAACAGGAAGAAGCTTCAGCCAGACAGACTTCAAAGTGTTTCTTTTGAAAAGATACCCTGTGGCAGACCTTTTAAGGTATGTATTTTAATTTAATATGTAGATATATTTGTTTTATAGTTAACCAAGTAAAAGTTAGTGCTTTGTTGTCACAGGGGGCTGGCTTCAGATATGGAAATGGACTGTATTAACACAGAAACCCAGATAAATGGATACCCAAAACAGGACATAAGCCATGTTGCTCAGTCGAATTCACAGATTGTTTGTAATGAATGTCGAAGAAAACTCAGAAGTTTGTTACCAGTAAATTATAAAGAAGAAATTATAGAGCTGCTAAAACTGGCTGGACCAGTGGTAAGTGTGAATATTAAGTTGACAAAAGTGTCAAAAGTAAATGAGATATAGCATTGAATTGTTATTGAATTTTTTTTAAGTATAACAACAATTTAATTTAGTTTATCTATTAATTATGTTTTCATTAATATGCTTCAATTAATATGTTTTCAAATCAATTTAATGTGCCATGTTCAGTTTAGCTGAGAGCAAAGATCATTTATGTCACTTAAGATCCAGTGTAGAGTCAAATTAAGGCCTAGTGAAAATGTATTGTAACTGTTATACAGTAAATGTTCTCCTCTTCGTGCAGTTTATATCTCAGCTGATGATCTTTCTGATCAGCTTTATCAGCACTGTGTTCTGTGGACACTTGGGGAAAACTGAACTGGCCGCTGTGGCTCTGGCTATTGCTGTGAGTTCAAAAAATAACTTCATTATGGCAATCATTAAAACTCTCATTGCGTTTGTAAATACATCCTTTTTGCTCACAGGTTATTAATGTGACCGGCATCTCCATCGGCTCTGGACTGGCATCTGCATGCGATACACTCATCTCTCAGGTCTGATAGTGAATGTTCAGTAATGTGAGTGTCATTTGTACTCAGGATTTCATCAGAATTGAATTGTGTCCTCCAGACGTTTGGCAGTAATAATCTGAAGCGGGTGGGTGTGATACTGCAGAGAGGGATTCTCATCCTCCTGTTGGCCTGTTTCCCCTGCTGGGCGCTGCTCATCAACACCGAGCCCATCCTGCTGGCTGTCCGACAGAGTCCCAGTGTGGCCAGGTCTGACACTTTCAGCATTTACTGGATGTTATGCATTAAATAATGTTCCTGTTTAGCAAAACGTACCTGAATCTGCTGATAAAACACTAGTTGTCAGGATATTTTAATGGAAGTAAATTACAGAAGTATTGTGAAATAAGTTGGTTTAAACATAATGTCATATCATTTGGGCATGTGACAGTCACATGGACCTACAGTTTGTGTCAGTGAAGCTTCTTTAACTGTGTGTGATTATTTTCTCTCTCTCTCTCTCAACAGTCTGTCACAACTCTATGTAAAAATATTCATGCCTGCTCTGCCTGTAAGTGACACATTAAACTTTTTTGCACACTATCATTTACACTGCAATTAACATCAAACGTTCACAAACATTAAAGGAACAGTTCACCAAAAAAATTGTAAATGTTAAGTAATCATCTACTCAAAGCTCATGCTGCTCCAAACGTATATGATTTTCAGTGAATAACTCTTTAAATTTCACTCAAAGTTCCTCACACAAAGCTTGACTTTGATTTTACAAGACTTTGTAAACATTTACGGCTTTTGTTGTAGTTTTGTGGTTCATTGTAGCCTTTTTGGAGCTTGACAGTTGCCAGAGTATTTTGTGTTTTGGGGAAAATATCTCCTTTACCTTTTGGAAGGACTTGAGAATGAGTAAATAATGAGACATTTATTTATTTATTTATTTATTTATTTATTTATTTATGTTTTCCTGCCAGTTTCCAACAACAATTTTCTTATTTGCTTTAAAAAAAAAAAAACCTACAGGCTGCCTTTATGTATCAGCTGCAGGGCTTGTATCTTCAAAATCAGGTAACCTCCAAGTCCTTAGATTCGTGTATTTGCCGACACTTTTATTCAAAATGACTTACATTGCATTTAAGCATTAAAGTAATACAATTAATGCCTAAGTTTATGCCTTCCTTGGTAATCAGACTTTGGTGTTGCTAGATCCATGGTCTGCTGTTTGAGTACTGTATTCTGTATATTGCTGTGATCCTGATGGCCTTTTTTCTTTGTTTTGTTGTTTAGGGCATTATTTGGCCTCAGATCATCACAGGAACAGCAGGAAATGTCCTCAATGCTTTAATAAACTACATCTTCTTTTATGTTCTTGATCTTGGTATGGCGTAAGAAGCTGTCTAGATTCTGTATATCCTATATTTAGAGACTATATTTCTTGTTTTCTTCATTATTTGAATGATAACCTGATGTGTTCACAGAGGATCTGCTGCTGCAAATGCAATTTCCCAGTATTCCCTGGCAGTGATTCTCTATTTGTTCATCCGATATAAGGGCCTGCATAAAGCCACCTGGGGTGGTGAGTTTCTCCTGTTAATTTCTGCAGAGATCGGTTTCCTAGTTCAGCATCTTGGAAAAAAAGTTTGATAGCACACCAGTTTGTATTTAATACTTTTAATGCACATTCTACAAGACAAGTTTCCTCATATTCACATGGGTGTCATTGATAAACTATGTACATTGTTTTGACATGAATAATTGGTTTAAATTCTGTTTGTTGTTAATTAGTTTGTTATTTAAATGTGTGTTATTTTTCTCCCATGTGTCCTGCTGATATTGCCTCAAACACACACCATTAGGCTGGTCTTGTGACTGTTTGCAGGAATGGGGTGCCTTCATTTGCTTGGCTCCTCCCAGCATGCTCATGCTTTGTGCGGAGTGGTGGACGTATGAGATTGGTGGATTCCTTGCAGGTTTGTAAACTTTGTGTATTTATTTCATTGTTTTTTTTTTCTTTAAAATATTTGACATATTTGATAAATATTGGTGTATTTTAGGCTAAGCCGGGGCTTTCGCTCACGCTAGGCCGCTATGTTTTTTGTTGTGAAAGCGAAACTACTTTGTTTGGTCTTTCAAAAGAGGACGATATC